AGCGGGTTTGCCCGCGGGGCCGCTCAGGGCAGGGCCTGCTGGAGCCGGGCCGGAGCCGGGCCTGGGGAGCTGGCAGCAGGCCCGCGGGGCCGCTCCCCAGGGCTCTTGGGAAGGTGGCCAGGCACAGGTCAGCCCTCTAAGACCTTAGCTCCGCCTTCCGTGGGGAAAAAAGCCCTGCTCTGAGGCTGAGAAGCTTTCCTTGAGCAAGAACTGGGAACAACCCTGAGTGGAGCTGGGCAAGCGGCCAGTAAGGAAACCACCGTGGGGGTGTCGTGCTGTCCGCATCTGCTCCTGTGAGCAGCCAAGGTACTGGAAAACACCACAATCCCTGTTTTCAGAAGCTTGTTAAGTGTCATCAGGCTCCCGGTTTAAGAGGAAGAATTTTAAGTCACAAATCCTTTTCCTTTTGAGGAGTTTTATGAGTGGAATTAGATAATACAAGAGACCTTTCTAGGAAAGGCATCATGGTATTGCTCCTCTCAACCACCATGTTCTCTGCTTGCTTTTGAGATACTCAGGTGGAACTTATGAGACATTCAAGTCCATGCAATAATGTTAACACCTGTTTTTGTAAACGTCTTTTTTTCGTATTTTCCTGTCATATTTTGTAGCTGTTCCCGTTGTTCAGACATCTCAAGTTATGAATCTCAGTAAACTTAATAGTCTTTCATAATCTTATCAAACTGTCTCATACCGTCTGATTCCAGACCTTTTCACACTCTTAAAACTCCATTTTCCCCCTGTATTTGGCTTGAATCATCCAATAAAGTTAATTTTGGACTTTGTTATGTATCAAAGATATGTAACGTTATATTATATTTAATATATATATAGACTTGTATTACTATTCAGCAAGTTACTATGATTTAAATAAAACCAGACAGAAATCTCACAAAGACATTTGGGTAGGTCACGAGATAGCCCAGTTAACTCAGTTATATCTCCAGCTGTACATTATCTCCCAATGCCGTGTTTTCCTTCTTTTGCAGGGAAGTTACAAGTTTGAGTCTCCCATAGCGCGACCCCCTGACTGAGTCTCCAGTATCACACTTGCCAACTGCGAAACACATTTTCTGTGCCACATTTCACCTGTGTGTAAAACGAGTAAGATGACATTTCCTGTCCTCACAGCTCCGTTGTGCTGCTTGCTTCATGTCTGGAAATTACTTTGAGATAAAACGTGTGTGAGGATAAAAGAAAGCAAGTTGTCCTTTGAGGCAGTGGATTTTTTGTGCTACAGTGAAAACTGCATTACAGAAAGGGAAATTCTGCTGAGCTGTCAAAAAAATGAGGAGCAGCAGTAGATAAAATCCTAATTTCTCTGAGAGTGGCTTAACAGAGTATTGCTACAGGAGCAAGCACAGCTGAGAGAGCTACAGCTTAATAACATGCCTTCTAATAGAAATGCTTGTAGTATTCTTTTAAAGCAACTACGGTGCACTTCTGATTCCAGGCAAATTTTGATTATAATACTACGACGTCCTGTAAAGTGGCTTCATTCTGCTTGGGTTCACAACTACACTGACCACAAATTGGAAAAAATGTTGTTGTGGTAGCAAGTAGTTCTTTTTCTCTCTCCCACTCACTTTTTAATGGTGCTGGAGATGATTGGGGGCATTAGTATTCTGATGAAGAGAGGCTGTGACAAAGACCGTGACTACAGGGCCTCCTGACTCTTCTGTGATGCTGCCAGTGATGTGGAGGGGACTGACTCCAATTGCACCATTTTTGAAATAGCCCTGCCATGGTACGGAGAAAACAAACAGACGGGCAATTCATAACGTGGCCGTAATGTTTTTAGTTTTGCAGCGTTAGCTTTGCGCTTTGTATGGAACAATGATACCAGGTGAGCAGCTATTTATCTTCATGCGGGGATTGCAGATATTTGTGTGCCAATTTGTGTGTGCATGTTTGTTTAGAAAAGGACAAGCTATATACCAGTATGATTGTATCATCTTTCTGCATGTCTTTCCCTGGCAGGATTTGGAAACCTCATGCAGGATGTGCTGTGGTGCTTTAGTCAAGTAAAAGGAACTATAGATATTGGGGTGACAGAAGGTAAGTTTATTTTTCCTTTTGTTGCTGTGATCAAAAATAACTTGTTTGTCATGTACATCTCCCCTAATCAGCGTGCAGAGGGTTGTTCCCATGTTGTTGAATACAGCTGGCAAAGAGCTAAGTTACACTCTCTTCATCTCTGCCTTCATTATGTACCTATGCATTTGAGAGAGGCAGATCTCTAAAATTAACTACTGATCCAAAAATATCATCTGAAGGCATTATGGCTTAATCATATCAATAGTCTTTGAAATAGATTTCCTTTTGGTTTCCAGCTGTTATTTACAGTTTCAGGGAATTACGAGACAGCCTCTCTCACTGTAACATCCTTTGCTGGAGTCAGTTGGATCCTGTTTCTGGGTAACATAAGTATAACTTGGTGCTCATAAAGTAAAGGCTGATAGATAATACTTAAAGGCTATATTCAGTGAAACTAGTAACAAAAAGGTGATTGTGTTGGTCTGTTGAATCTGGTCAACAGGTACGAGTGGCCTCACCATGACTGAGCAGAACGCTCGGGAGAGTATTTTAGGTACAGGATTGGGCTTTTGATTGCTATGCTGGTTTTGTATGTGAACGTGGACGTGTGTGGATCCAGACGTCCGTACACATAAATCATGTCATAAATGTGTTTCTATCACAGATGCCTCACCTTCATCAGAAGTTTATGTGTAACAATATTTTATGCTAATCTTTGTGGCACGTTTTTGACCTTTATAACTCTTGGTAACATCTGAGCATCCTGAATTTACAAAATTGGTTAGTGGAATGCATGCAACTGTGTATGGTCAGGTGAAAGGAGATGCTACTATTATGTTTACAGTGTTTTGCATCTTTAAATGTAGAAGAGCCTGCCTCCTTCAGCAGCATGGATTGTCATTCTGGCTTTCAAATGATACTTAAAACGTTGCCGGAAATAATTCTGTATTAATTCTCCAATAATATGCTTGTTCTTTTCCATGCACATGTAAAGCTGCATGAGCAGAGCTACACGTAGACTTTCCCATTTTGTGCTTTCCTTGTTCATTGCTTTCCTTGACTCGGGGTGTGGTGTCGCAGTGTGTGGTACTCGTCCTGATGAAACCAGCGCTGTAACGGATCCTTTAACTCTCACACAGCTGTGGGAAAGAATGAGCTCTCTTGTGCGTAGATGGGAGGCCTTGGACATCTTTCAGCTGCTCAAACACTGACTTCAGTATTAAATATGAAGTAAATTATGTTGCTGTTTGCCATTGTGGTGCCCCAGTGCTTTGAACCATATTTCATTACTACTAAAAGGAAACAATTTTTAGAGATCTTGCCTTAATCTGATGTGTTGATAATTAACAGTCTAGTGTAGAAAACGCATTAGTGCAAACTTAAGAGGTGATGTTTTCTCTAGTCCTCTGGAGCCTCAAGATCCATGGTGTAGAAGCTGCCCCAGTGCCTGCTGAAGGGCACGTTGCCAGGGAGAGTCCTGCCGTGGCCGCGGGCGTCAGGAGGGCGAGGGCAGCCTCGCCAGATTTGGGGCTGCTGTGCCTGTGGGCTGCGTGCCTCAGGTGAGGAACCCAGGCACTCAGCATTTAAACTGTGGTCATATTCAATTAGTTCAGTGTAAAATATACGTGTGATAAAGTTAGCAAATGGACAATATCACAGAAGCATTAATGGCTAAATTGAAATGGCCCTAATGGAGTTAGCTATTCTGCCTGGTGTCTGGAATGTTTTGCAGTTGGAATGTCACCAGATACCAAGCTCCATGACCAACAGTCATTTCCAGTGGGTTTGAGATTTTTGTTCTGCCTGCTGGCACATGCCCATGTTTGCCACATCATCTAAACACGTAACCAGTCCCTCCAAATCAAGGAATTCAGGGTTGCATGTGGCCTGCAGGCTCACCAAGCTGTCTCAGAGCCGGCCTTGTGTTCTTACACGTTGGTTTCCATTTTGTGTTTCTTGCTAATTAAGCTCAAATATATATATCCTGATTTTTGCATGTGAAGTGAAACTCAGTTTGTTAATGAAACATAAAGACTGAGTATAAATATTTAAATAGATCCAAGCCACAATAAAGATAATTTGGTGTTGTGGGATTTTTCTGTACACGATTTTAATGAGGTGGAATTAAGCTGTTTCTCAGGGAATGTTTGTGTCTGTTTTTAAGTGGAAAAAAAATATTTTCTGTTATGTACAATGGAATCCATTACATCCATGCACATGGTGGAAGAGAGGCAGAGGATCTGCAGATTTCAGTCCCACAAGTAGGTCTCGGATGTGGCTTCTGTTTCAAGCTGACTTTGAGTTCCTGGCTAAACCTGAGGCGAGTCACTGCACAGCTCGGCGTGGGCAATGTTTATTTCAGGGGCTCACATAACATCCGACTCTGTGATCTCTATCTATGTCCGCGAGGAAGTGACACAGCCAGCCACACAAGCTACAGGGATGCCATATAAATAGTTAAAAAGGCATAAATGAGGGAGAGACATGGATTGAGGAAGAAGTGAGGTCCTCTGCCTGAAGCTGTCGTGGTGATCTTGTAAGCAGAACTGGGGCAAATCTCTTTCTGGGCCCATAAGCATGGGGCCGAAGAGGCTGGGTCTGCGCAGCTGAGGGACTGGGACCGGTCTGGGGGCCGCTGGTTTCCCTCTCCCCTCCCGGAGCAGCAGGCTGACGCCTCATCTGTTCAGTCCCAGCTCTCAGCTACCAGCCCAGGGCTGCGATCGGGAGGATCCGGGTGGCACTGGGATGTGTGCGGTGCGGAGATCCGTGCCAGAGGCCCGTCGGGCTGGTCTGTGTGCGGTGGCTGGCCAGGCCCTGGCAGCAGCATGCTGCCCCCCTCTGGGACACGCACCCGCACGGGCAGGGCACCGCCTGCCCGTGGGGAGGGAAAGGTCCGAACTGCCACAGTGACGCACGCGTTTTCCTGGGGAGCAAGCGGGTGGTTTCTCCAGAGCTGTTTGCACCCTTCTTGAGAGGCACCCTGGCCCCAGAACACCAGTTCAGCCAGCCGCCTGGAAATTCATACTCTTTTCCAGGTTTTGTTGCGCACTCCCATGAAAGTGTCGAGTGAGCTGCTGAGATTGTTAGAGATGGGTAACTGCAGTTTGCATGCCTGTGATGTGGTTTAATTATGCAGACCTTATCTAACTTCCTCTGATTTCAGCTGGAGGCAGCATTCAGCACTTTCTCCAGAAAACCTGGCTAGTTTCAGGGTGCAGCCAAGCAGCAGTGTCTGCTCCAGGGAGCTATTTACATTTCTCAGCTGGTGTATGAAATAATCTGGTTGTGTGAGTCGTATGTGAACACGTACAGTGACTTTCCATGAGGACTGCTTTATAAAATCCGCTCTCTTTAGTTCATATCTCGTTTCCTGGGATGGACTCGAGATACACAACAGTACTTGATCTCAGCCTCCACTTCTGTGTGATGCAATCCGTGAGCCGTCATCCCTAACCACAAAGGGCTTGTATTCTTGCAGCCCACACCTGGATTGTTTTTTCCACATCCAGAGAGGGTATTTTGGATATGGATAAAGAGAAAGGTACCTAAGTGGAATGAAAAGCTTCCCTCTTCAGTGGCACGGGTGCTTCACATCTCTTTGCCGTACGTGCAGTGGTGCCATCACCTGCCCCTGACAGCAGGGCTGGGCAGGCTGCAGCCGGGAGATGGGACCGAACCGCAGAGAGGGCCGGTGCTCCGCAGGAGGCAGCACCGGCGGGCCGGAACGGTGAGTGGTCTGGTCCTAACCCGGAGCTGGTCCGCAGAGGAGTTAACCAGCAGAACGCGGGGTGGGGGGTGGCATCAGCAGCTCAACACGTTATTTCCTTCCGACCTGGTAGCGCGATGCTGCCGGTTACGTGCACCTCAGTGGGCTGCGGCAGCGTTAGTTATGGACACGCTTGGCCTTGAAGAGCGGGTTGTGGCTGCCAAAGCGTTCGAAATGCGGATCTGGATCAGTTCCGCCGCGTGAACGGTGCCGGTTCCACCGGGGCGTGGAGCGCCCGACTTGAGCGCGCTGCCTGGGCGGGATCCGCGCTCCGGCGGGCGCGGGTGCGGGCTGGGGTTCGCCTCGCGTCCTGCGGTGTGCCGGCGCCTTCCTGGCGGCCTCTGCTCGCCCCCCGGTGCCGAAACAACCTCGGCGCCCCCGCGGCCGGGCTGGGGCTGCGCCGGCGCCGCT